CTGAGGAGTCTTCCCCAACCTCCATACTAGCTACAGGATCAAAGATAAGTAGAAGCAGCAACAGGTCACAAGCGAGGGTCTCTCCATATCTTCTTTCCAAGGCTTCTCTCCACTGGCATCCTTCTGTTGCTGGTGAGGGTTTGCACTGGAACACAAGTCTCTCAAACATGCATCACTTAAGAACACATTCTTCTCAAAGTAAACCACTTGTAACTCACTCAGGTGCAAAATATCTTTTAACACTGAGAAGCACGGCTTACACAGATGGGTCCTCTGGGTGGTTGCAGCTGTCCTGGAAGCCCTGACCTGAGAATCTCCTACAGATACACAGTGCTCAGAATAGGCCTCCACATCATCCATCTTACGCCAAGGACCTGAAAACAGAGGAATGATGACGAAATGAATGTTGACTCTGGTGACAGCGGGAAGTCCCATTATAAAAGTGGGTTGCACATACTACATTGGTTTCATGCAATTGGCTGAAAATAAAAGACCTGAAAGATGGATTAGTAAGAGGTCACTCTGAAGTTCTTGAGCACTGAAGATCACAAAACAAGGGAGACTTCAGCAGAAATAGAGCAAAAACAAGACAAGTACCACATGGAGGAGAAGTGGACTGTCCAGCTCATTCTGCTGCTAACAGCATTCAGTAGATCAGTGATGGCGTACCTATGACACGTGTGTCAAAGGTGACATGCAAACTCATTTTTTTGCTTGATTTTTCCTTGTTAAATGGCTTTTAAATATATAAAATAAATATCAAAAATATAAATCTTTGTTTTACTATGGTTGCAAATATCAGAAAAATTCTATTTGTGACATGGCACCAGAGTTAAGTTAGGGTTTTTCAAAATGCTGACACGCTAAGCTCAAAAGGTTTGCCATCACTGCAGCAGATCTTCTATGCTGGTGACATGGGCAAGCTGTGCAGAAGGTTGGTTACATCTCATTCCAAGTAAAATTCAATAAACAAGTAGCTGGTATTTTAGGGGTATTTAAGCATGTACACTGAGTGGCCAGATTATCATGACCACCACATCAGTACAAAGAAATGAATTAGTTATGCAAAGAATAATAATAATAATGATAATAAAACCTTGAGAGTATTTGCTTAGGAAGTTTTCAATATTGAGTATTTTGGAAGTGTCAATGAAGTGCTGACGGGGTGGTCATTATAATCTGGCCACTCAGTGTATGTGCTCCTTATAACGCTTGCATAGGTCCATGTTGTAGAATACTGCAGAAAGAGAAGTGCAAAGGAATAGGTGATGTAAAAAGGACACAAAGGCAAAGATATCCAAAGCTAGAAAGTCATTGATGAAATGAGAAGCCAGCAAAGTGTCAAATATGGAAAAGGAAATGTATAAATGAGGGGTGGCCATTGGAACTTGCACCAAACATCATTAGACAGGAACAGTTCCTGGTACAATCTGAACACCATCCTTATGTCATACCTCCCCCGAGCTGCCACTCAGCCAGGCCAGGCTTCCCCTAGGAACATCCTGTACGTTCACCCTGCAGAAACCCAGGGTTCTCCCTGCACCTCCTTCCCTAGAAATATCTACAAACTAAATATTCCAAGTTTCAATGAAAGACAACAGAGGTGAGCATCCATCACTTGCCCATAGCATTCGGCTTGCAATAGTATTCACAGAAGGTAATATTACAAACAACAATGGAAGGAGGGTCTTACAAGAACAGCAACTGGTTCATGTATATAAAGAAGATACCTGGCACAGGCATTCACCAAGGTCCTTATCTACAGGAAAGGTGCAGAAGTGGAGGCCATAGATCTGGATATAGTCACCCTTCCCGGGTGAGGAAGAGCAGGAGGGACCCATTAAGCTGTCTGTAAGACTGCTGACACCCAGACACTTCCTGCAGTTCCTAAGGCAACTGGTGGTAGGGAAGTTTGTGGAGTCTATTGCTCAGGGCTCTCTGAGAGCTCAGCACTGGCAGCCACAGCCCATTTCACAAGACAGTGGGGGAAATGAGCAGAGCCCATGGTCTTGCTTTGAGAGAGAGAGAGTGCTATGTCTGGAGAATAAATAAAGAGTGGGCATCACTTCAGGACACTAGGAGAGATGAAGGTCTTACCTACGAATGATACAAGGGAAAACACTTCCAGCATCACATCACAGTATAGACGTCTCTGAGCCTCATCAAGGATCTCCCACTCCTCCTGAGCGAACGCAATGGCCACGTCCTCAAAATTCATATCCTGTCATAATGAGGACAGTACATCCCATGATAAGATTCTCTCTTGAGATGCCAAGTTTGTCACACTCCCCACCCGGAACAACCATCTCCTTCCTCTACTCCCCACATCAGGGAAGACAGCAGGCCTTAGTCCCATCAAAGTCAATATCTCCGTATATTCCTACTAGAGGCCCGTTGCACAAAAATTTGTGCACTGGGGGGGGGGGGGGGGCCCTCAGCCCAGCCTATGCCCTCTTGCAGTCTGGGACACCTCGGAAGATGTCCACCTGCTGGCTTAGGCCCACTCCCTGGTGGATTGGGCCCAAGCTGGTAGTCACACATTCCTCTGGCAGCCAGGCAGCCCCGAGGAAATGTCCACTTGCCAACAGGGAGCAGGCCTAAGCTGCAGTTGGATATCCTTAGCGCTGTTGACGAAGTGGGAGAGGCTCCCACCACCACCGCTGTACTGGCAGCCGTCATCTTGGCTTGTGGCTGAGAAGACCTCCCCCTGAGGGAGTGCACTGACCTCCAGGGGGCATCTCCTGCACTGAGCGTCTGCCCCCTGGTGGTCAGTGTGTTTCATAGTGACCAGTCATTCCCAGTTGTTCTGCTGTTAGGGCTGATGGCTGTTTGCAGCTGGTCACACCCCCTTCAGGGTGGGGATCCCCACTGGGGTGCCTGGCCAGCCTGGGTGAGAGGCTGATGGCTGTTTGCAGGCTGGTCAAGCCCCTTCCCCAGTGGGGACCCTTACCCCATGGAGGTTTGGCTAGCCTCGGTGAGGGACTGAAGGCTGTTTTCAGGCTGGCCACACCCCCTTTTGGGTGGGGAGTCCCGCAGGGGTGCCTGGCCAGTCTGGGTGAGGGGCTGAGGGCTGTTTTCAGGCTGGCCAAGCCCCCTGGCGACGGAAGCTCCCAGCCTCTCCTTTTCTTTTCTTTTTTAATTCTGGGGTTTATGTACCTTCTATAATTGAAACTTTGTAGCTTTCAGAGGAGCTCAGAGCTGGCCAGGGTGGGCGAGAGGGAAGCCTGCTGGTCGCTCCAGCTCCGTGGCCACGGCCAGCTGAAAGCAGGTATCTGGGGTTTATTTACCTTCTCTAATTGAAACTTTGTTGCTTTGAGTGGAGTTCAGAGCCCGCCGTGGCAAGCGGGAAGCTTGGCTTCCTCCATCATTGGGGCAACCAAGCCTCCTCCTTGCTCCAGCTCCGGGGCTGCCGGCTGGCCATCTTGTTTGGTTAATTTGCATATAGTCACTCTGACTGGCTGGTGTGCGTGGCTTAAGGTGTAGCGAAGGTACAGGCAATTTGCATGTTTGTCTTTTATTAGTGCAGACTGATGCTGTGTCTCTCACAACAATAAAGGCAGATGAGCAGTTATAATATACCTGTGCTTTGGGGCTCAAATGAGAGTCAGACTGCCCCCTTTCAATAACAGTGGGTGCCAGTAACATAGGGTAGGACGAGATGTTGCACATAAAGGGAGTGTGAGTGACTTGACACTGATCTTGTCAGGCAATACCCATGTTTCCTCCAAATTGTCCCTCAAAGACACCAAAATGCTAATGCACATTACACTTCCGACTCCAATCCCAGTTTGCTGAGGCCATCACTTTGCATTACCTGCTGCCCATAGTTCTTTGATCCACACTTGTCTCACAGCTTCATTCCCAGAGGCACATCTTCACTAATGACATAAATAAGCCATCACAAGGACAGGTTGTTTTCTAACTAGTTTATTTTCTAAAATTCTAGTTCACCACCTCTGTGATATATTTCTCTCTCAACCTACTCTGTTCTCCCTTCCCCATGCTGGTGGAGATTTTCAAGTGCAGGTGACACTGATGTATGCTATCTCATTCCTATAGTTCACTGGGTCAGGCCTCAACTAGAAATGACAGGTGGGCACATATATGTCACCTAAGCTCTGGACCTCGTATGTAGCACCACAACAACCCATCTTGTTAGAAATTATCCTAAAATTTCCCATATCATATCATGAAGACACCATCAGAAATGGACGCCCTTTTCATTCACTTGTCTGTCAATGTTAGTGCCCGGCTGCTCTGGTTTTAGTCCCAGGACCACACTGATGTCATCATGCCCTGTGGGTGACTGTGCAGCTCAGCCCGGTTCCCCCACCTGCTACACTGACATAAAGAGCACCTCCCATACTGTTCTTTGGATCTCTTATCCTCCAAACCCCGCTCACCCTCTCATGCCTTTTTTTCTGAGGTTTGAAGGTCTCTTTGATGCTTTTGTCTCTGAATGTATTTTTGTTCATCACTTTATGCCAGTGGACCTCATCATTCCTAATGCCTCGACCCTTTAATAAAGCTCCTCATGTTGTGGTGACCCCAAAAAACAATATATAATTATATATGTGTTTCCCAATGGTCTTAGGCCACCCCTGTGAAAGGGTCGTTTAACCCCCAAAGGGGCCATGACCCACAGGCTGAGAACCGCTGGTTTATGCTGTTCATTATAATCCAGAAATGATGATATCATGTGATACTGATCTTTCTCTGACTCGCTTATTTTGCTTAGCATAATGCTCTCCAGGTAATAAATTCATTTTAAAAATTGTTAAAAGATTCTGAGCAGATATTTTAACAAATATGATAAAGACAATGTGAATATATGTATGAAACAAATGCTCACCATCAAAAATTGTTAGGTAAATGAAAGTAAAACAAAGGTGAGGTAATCCTATACTCATTTATTGGGCTAGTATTTAAAAAAAATTACCATCATATGTGCTGGCAGAGTTTCAGAAAAACAGGAATTTTCATTACTGTGGGTGGGTGGGAATGCAAAGGAAATAAGCATTTTAGATCACAGTTCCACATATCTTACAATGTAAAACATTCACCCACACAACAACAGTTTGATCAGTAAAACATACATCTAGATAATGAACTGAACACAATATGCCCAGCAGATTTCTCTGTAATACCCCACACCTGGAAATAACCAAAGTCATAGACACATAATTAAAGTAGTAATTCACAGTACACAATTTGTGTTGAATCTCAAAATAACTATGTAGGGTGAAGGAAACCAATATTTGTTAAAGAGCACACACCTTCTAGTGCCTATAAAATTATGAAAAATATGTACTACTGCGTTGTAATGGAAGGAAAATCAATGCCTACTTGTAGGACTGGGGAAGGTAGAGAGAGAGTTTGTAAAAGGGCAGAAGGTAAATAAAGGGTATGCCAAAAGTAGGGTTAGAGTTGTTGGTACGGGAAGTAATACAATAATTAACAAATAATAATACAAGAATTTACTCTGCCCTGGTTAGTGTTACTCACTCAGTTAGGCATCATCCCCTACACTTAAAGGTCACTACAACAGGTCAGGGCACTAGAACATGTCTTCCTCAAACCCCAGTAGGGGGCATGCAAGAGCCATCAGATTAACATATGTCTCTCATATAGATGTTTCTCTCCCCCCCTTCCTTCCCGTTCTCCCTAAAAGAATCAATAAACTAATGTTTAAAATAACTTTTTTAAAAACAATAAACTATGTGTTTTGGGTGCTCACTATTGTAAACCTATTTTTGCTCCACCCTGTACATTGGTGACAGGTAAGTTTATTTCATGTGTGACAACTTCACAGCTTTATATGTACATCAAACCTCACCAAATAGTACATACTTAAAAAGTGCAGTTTGTTGCATATCATTTCTCATATCCTGGAAAGAACAGCCTTGCCATAGTCCCAGCAAATATTGGTAAGCAATTTAGACTATTATCATCAGAATCCATAGGAATGTGACTGGGGTTGATTATAGGATTACTCTTCCTCTACCTTTGAATTCTTGTATGTTGAGCATCAACCTTGAGGTGAACACCCTAGGGGGGCCAGCAGAATAGTAAAATTATAAGACTATTTTCTCTGCCAATGACTTCAGTCATAGTAAACAGGTATGGAGGTCCTGAAAATATCTGTACACAAACATCACGCAAGCCACAGGCCCTGCAACATTTGTGGAAAACATTCAGGAGAGGCATTTTTCAACTAATTTACTGCAGTCTCTCCCACTCACAATAGAAACAGTGCTTCTGCCCTAATTGTGGTTGCACACAACCCCCAAATTCTTACCACAAAGGACACCAGCCTATGAAATTTCTCCATCATGACGCATGGATCATTTGCTGAGACTTATGTCATACACACTGTGAACAAAGTGCTTCACAGAAGCACAACAAAGACCTCCTCTTCAGGGTGACCTTTGACTTCACCAATAATAGAGGTACCAGGCTGCAAATTAGAAGCATAAAGTCCTGCAGTCTTGCTTTAAGGCTTTCGGCAGAAATGCAAAATAAGCAAATAATGGCCAAAGAGTGATTTTCTGCCATCATGATGTCCCTTCAGAAGCACTGAAAGTTTGGGATCCCCATAATATCTCTTCACCTCTACCTGCTGACAGATCACAATTGTGCTTTCAAGTCATCCCAGGCAGAGAATAGAACCAATAAATTTTTTTTAAAATATATTTTATTGATTTTTTACAGAGAGGAAGGGAGAGAGATAGAGAGTTAGAAGCATCGATGAGAGAGAAACACCGATCAGCTGCCTCCTGCACATCTCCTACTGGGGATGTGCCCGCAACCCAGGTACATGCCCTTGACCGGAATCGAACCTGGGACCTTTCAGTCCGCAGGCCGACGCTCTATCCACTGAGCCAAACCGGTTTCGGCAGAACCAATAAATTAAAGGTACAAATGAAAAAGGTACCTTTATAAAAAGATCATAAACCAGAGCCATATACAGCAAGTGGTTTGCATGTTGGTGAATAACTACCTGAAAAAATTCATCACAGCACAATGTGAGAAGCACAATGTCCCTGAAAGGTGTACCATATTTTAGGATTGTGGTCTGGGGGAAACAATGGTTAAGTTCATTACTTAGTCAGAGACAAAGGAGTGAAGATCCTAACAGCTCGGAGTACTCATCATTTTCTAAAACATAAGTAAGAATACAGAATTCATTTTTTTCTGAGCACACAGGACTTCCCACAATCAGTACACACATATAGCTTTTCTCTAGTGTGAACTCTCCTGTGGATAAGGAGGTGATTATTGCAGGTAAAAGATTTCCCATATTCACTACACTCATAAGGTTTTGCAGCACTGTGAACTCTTTAGTGTTGAGTGAAGTTACTGTGTTCCCTAAAGGACTTCCCACAATCACTGCACTCATATAGCTTTTCTCTACTGTGAGCGCTGTGATGTTAAATGAGGGTAGACCTGTGTGTAAATGACTTCCCACAGTCACTACACTTATATGGCTTTTCTCCAGTGTAAATTCTCCTGTGGATAAGGAGGTGATTATTGCAGGTAAAAGATTTCCCAAATTCACTATATTCATAAGGTTTTTCACTAGTGTGACCTCTCTGGTGTTGAGTGAAGGTACTGCTTTGATTGAAGGACTTCCTGCAATCACAACACACATTCAGCTTTTCTCCAGTGTAGACTTTGTGTTGTTGAATGAGTTTGGACCTCAGGATGACGGACTTCCCATGATCACTACACTCATATTGCTTTTCTACAGTATAAACGTTTCTATGATGAATGAGGAAAAAGATTTTTCTAAAAACTTTCCCACATTTTTTTACACTTATAAATCACTTCTCTGGAGCAGACAACCTGATGTTGAACAACTTTCTGGTTGTGGCTGGCAGCTTTTTCACATTTAGCCCACTCGTCATGACTTCTTCCAATGAGAAATTCTTGTGAAATCTCACTACCCAGTGTTAAAAGTGGCCTGGTGCTGGAGATTGTCTCAGATGGCTGGCAAGTCTTTCCCAACCTCCCTAATGGTTGAAGGCACCCATATTAAGTAAAAGCTGCACTGGGACACAAGTGAGGCCCTGTCCATATCTTCTTTCCAGGGCTTCTGTCCACTGGCATCTCTCTGTTGCTGGTGAGGGTTTGCAATGAATCAGAAGTCTCTCGCACATATATGTTATGGATGAAGGCTTTCTGCTCAAAATATACTGCTTGTAACTCAGTCAGGTCCAAAATATCTTTTAAGACTGAGAAAAAGATGTGTCTTCTGGGTTGCTGGGGCTGTCTTAAAAGCCCTGACATGACTCTCCTGGTACATATACACTCTGCTCAGAATTGGTCTCCTCATCATCCGTTTTATGCCAACAACGTGAAAATAGAAATATGGTGAGGAACTGAATGCTGACTGTGGTGACAGGTGGAAGTCCCTTTACAAAAGTGTGTTGCACATAACATGGTTCCGTGCAATTGACTCACAACAAAAGATCTATATCTAGCCCACAGTTGCAACTCAACAGGGCCAGGCCTCTTCTGAGACCATACTGCATGTTCACCCTGTAAAAAAATATCAGGGTTCATCCTGCACATTCTTCTCTACAAATACGTACAACAGAAATAATCCAAGTATTAATGAAAAATGACAGAGATGGGCAGCCAGCACTGGCCTAGTGCAATTTGGTTTGCAATTGTATTTACAGAAGATAATATTACAAACAACTGAAGTGTGATCTTGTAAGTACAGTTCAAGGTTCATGTAAGTAAAGACCATAACCTGGCACAGGCAGTCACCAGGGACCTTTGGCTAGAGGAAGGAGGTAGAAATAGAAGCCATGGATCTGGACAAAGTCATCCTCCCAGGGAGAGAAACAGCAGGTGGGACCCATTAAGCTGTCTATAAGACTCCTGACTCCTAGACACATCCTGCACTGTCTGAGAAAACTGGTCTTAGGGATGTTTGTGGACTCCTTGGCTCAGGGCTCTCCACAGACCTCACCCATGGCAGCCACAGCACATCTGACATGACATTGGGGAAATTAGCAGAGCCCATGGTCTGGCTGTAGAAGAATGAAAGCTACATCAGAGGAATAAAGGAAGAGAGGACATCATCTCAGGACATTGGAAGAATGTGAAGGTCTTACCTACAGATGATAAAAGTGCAAAAATGTCCAGCATCACATCACAATAGAGAAGTCTCTGAGGCTCATCAAGGAGCCCACATTCCTACTGAGAGAAGGCAATGTACACGTCCTCAAAGTTCATATACTGTCATAATGGGGACAGTGGGGACAGTACAGCCCGGGATCAGATTCACTCCTAAAGTTCCAACTCTGTCATATTCCATCATACACATCAACCTGCTCTCTCCACTCTACACACTAGAGAAGATGCCGGGCCTTCATCACATGAAAATCACTGTCATCTTATATTTCTAGTGATATTTTGTCTTCCACAATAAAGGCCGTTGAGCAGATAGAACATAACTGAGCTATGGGATTCACAGGTACGCCATACTTCCTCTTGACAGTAGAGTGGGTGTCAGGAACAGAGGGTAGGAAGAGATGTTGGCCATAAAGAGAGTGTGAGTGAATTGATATTGCTCTTGTCCGGCATTACCTTTGTAGTCCCTCAGATTGTTCCTCAAAGACACCAAAAACATGGCATCACACTTCACCCTCAGACCACAATCCCAGGGTGCTGAGCTCATAGCTTTGTACTACCTGCTGCACATAGTTCTTTGAACACTTGTCTCACACAGCTTCATTCCCAGAGGCACAACTTCAAAGGTAATGCAAATTTGCTGTGGCTAGGACGGGTTGTTTCCTAATTACCTTACTTTCCAAAATCATAGATTGCCACCTCCATAATCCATTTCTCTCTTACCCTTCTCCCTTACCCATGCCCTTGGAGATTTCCAAGCCTGGGTAACACTGATGTATGCTATCTCATTCCTATGAATCAGTGTGTCACCCTCAACAACAAAAGGCAGGTGGGTACATAAATGTCACCTAAGCCCTGAACCTGGCAGGGAGCACCAAAATACCCCTCTTTTCAGGCAATTACCCCAAAATAATCCTCATTTTATCATCCAGACTCCACCCGAAATGGACTCTCCCTTCATTCACTCTTATGTCAATATCAGGGTGTTCTGGCCATGAAGTCACACTCCCTCTCCAAGTGCACATCACTCTGTTCCACACTTCTCTCACACCTCCACCCCTACAGTCCCGGCCCTCACAGACATCTCCTTGCGCTCTTACTTATTACTCATCATGTGTCATCCAGAGGATGCTTGCCAAGTTCAAACAGGATCATGTACTGCCCTGACTTTGATAGTCTACACTCATAGAGGAAGCCTTCAGTCCTGCTATGAAAGCCTCTCTCCATGACTGTTTTTCCTTCAATCTAACCTATGAAGAACCACAATCAGATCTCAGATACCCTAGCCCACTTCCCCTGGTGTTGTACTTGATGCCCTTTCACCAGTCACAGCCAACATCTCTCCACTTAACTGTTACTTAAGTCCTAGCTGTGGAGGCCCTCTGTACCATGCCCAGTGAGTCTCACTGATTCAAGCCGCTAAGCCAGTGGTCGGCAAACTCATTAGTCAACAGAGCCAAATATCAACAGTACAAGGATTGAAATTTATTTTGAGAGCCAATTTTTTTAAACTTAAACTATATAGGTAGGTACATTGTTATTAACTTAATTAGGGTACTCCTAATCTGGCCTTTGCTAAAAACGTCCTCAATCTGAGGGGTCGACCTCAGCGAACGTACCCCCACTTCTTCTAACGCCACTTCTTCAAAATAGACTCGCCCAGGCCAAAACAGACTTCTGTGCTTGGGCCAAGAAGTTTCAATCGCACTGTACGTGCTCGCCTGCACGTGGTCTTTTGTGGAAGAGCCACACTCAAGGGGCCAAAGAGCCGCATGTGGCTCTCGAGCTACGGTTTGCCGACCACTGCGCTAAGCTAATGCACAGGACTGACTGTTACTACCCCAGGCAGGGCACACTGAGGGTCCCTCCCAGGCAAACGAAAAATGTGCCCTCTAAGACCAGTATGAAACCACAGCTTCTACCTGAAACAATCGTCACCATACTTCACTTTAGAAATTGGATTACTGCTATTAGTCCCTTTTAAAGACTTTGACATCTTAAAAATAGTATTAAATGAATCCGAGAGGCAATCACACTTCCTGCCCCATAAAACTCCACCTTAAAGCTCCACCCCTGAAATTCCATCCTGCCTCAGTGAGCAGACATTCCTTTTTGGCTAAATCAGAGGAAGGGGCCTTTGCTGTTTCAAGATGGCGGCCACCAGGGGAGTGGCAAGCCATGTGGCTGACATGGCCGCTGCCAAATCATGCAGCTCAAAATGGTGGCTGTCTACAGTGGTTTTTTTTTGACAGAGCAAACCAAAATCCCTAAAAGGTAGATGGCCAACATTATTTTGTAGACAAACTGAAATCTCATTAGCTGTTTATACCTTTTATAATTATCTTAAAGAATATCAATTAAATTTAAACTGGTTTCTGTATTAAAAATTTTCAGTTGAGGTCATAAAATCAATCCTCTTTTTAATCAGACCAATAAGCAAAGGCATTTAGTTACCACAACTACACAATTTTTCCCAATTCAATCCGAACCTTAAACTTTTAGCTGGCAAGTCAAATATTTAGCATTTCCTAATCAGTAACATTTTTAATCAACCAACATATTCAATTCTGTCCTCTAGCAATATTTCAGCATTATTTCACTTCAAAATACCTAGACATAAGTTTTTATACAAACAAACTTTGTCCCGACGCCATGATGATCAGTGAAGAGAGACAGACAAGGGAGGGGGTGACCTGTTTTCACAGATCCTCACTCAGATGCCCGCCTGACCAAAGCTGTGGAGCCACACAAAGGAGAGGAGAGGGCAGGCCCCCTCCCTCCACACTCACACACTTTCACCAGACATTCACTCAGAGTTTAAACAGTCCCTCCAATTTCTAACAATTTCCCAATTCCTGGGGGAGCTCTATAGCCTTCCCTAATCTCTTTGAAATGATCAATCATAATACTTAATGGAGGATCTCATTCAGTCACCACAACATGAGGAACTGTATTAAAGAGTCTCGGAGGAACTGTATTAAAGGGTCCCGGCATTAGGAAGGTTGAGAACCACTGTTCTATGGGCTCACCTGCTCAGTGCCCTTGCCCAACCCAGAAGCGAGGTGCCCTCCAGATGCCTGTGTTATCTCCGGGCTCAGTCCTCAGTGCTCACTCTGCCAGTTCCCTTATCATTTACAGGACTTCCCCTTCCTGTCCACAGCTGCTGTCCTCTGTTTTCTAGTCTGTCCTTCCTCTGAGCAATGTTAGGAAAAGTTAGAAACCGGCCTCAGAAAATTCCCTCTTTTTTTCACAACCATCTATGGCCCCAGCGTTCTGAAAATGAAAGTAAAACTGCTCGTGCAAAACCTCACCTCATCTCTCTGTTGCCTTTAGATCCACAACAGACCCGGGTTTTCCTAATCCTCCTGCCTCAGCCCCACCACGTGTCCTTAGAAGGTGGCATTGCAGCCTGTGGCCCTCATCCCCCATCACACCCTGTGTCACCCAGGAGAGACTCACTGTTCTGGATGCGGCTTCCTGGGCGGCGGGTCCTGAGAGGCGGGTCCCCAAGGCTGGGGGGTTAAACGGGGTCAGGCTGCGGGAACGCTGTGAGCAGAGAGGAGTCCGGGAGGCATGGAGGCCCCGATACCGGCCTGTTGGTGCCCAACCAGCGTCAGACACACCCCGCACAGCAAGGACGCTGCCTCCTAGGCCTCCTCCTACTCACGACCAGTGCGCTGAGGCCTGTGAAGCTTTGAAGAAAGTGAAGAGGTCAAAATGCCCGCCAGGAGGAGGAAGGCGGAAGTCCCGCCCAAACCGGATGCCCTG